GGAATTTTCAATCATGGCAGAAGGTGAAGTGGGAGCAGGCATGTTACATGGTGAGAGCAGGAGCAAGACAGTGAGAGGCGGCGAAGTCTCAGACTTTTTTTTTTTTTTTTGAGACTAAGTCTCATTCTTGTTGCCCAGACTGGAGTTCAATGGCACGATCTCGGCTCACTGAAACCTCCACCTCCTGGGTTCAAGAGATTCTCCTGCCACAGCCTCCCGAAAGCTGGGATTACAGGCACCTGCCATCATGCCCAGCTGATTTTTTGTGTGTGTTTTTAGTAGAGACAGGGTTTCCCCATGTTGTCCAGGCTGGTCTCAAACTCCTGACCTCAGGTGATCTGCTTTCCTCAGCCTCCCAAAGTGCAGGAATTAGAGGCATGAGCCACCATACCTGACCCTAATTTTTAAATTTTTTGTGGAGATGGGGATCTCCTTATGTTGTCCAAGCCGATCTTGAACTTCTGAGCTCAAGCAATCTTCCCACTTCGCCTCCCAAAGCACGTGGATTACGGGGTGAGCCACCGCGCCCAGCCTCTCTTTATCCTATTTTGCTTTATTTACTTATTTTGTTTGTTTTTGTTTTGAAATGGATTCTCACTCTGTCACCCAGGCTGGAGTGCAGTGGCACAATCTCAGCTCACTGCAGCCTCTGCCTCCTGGGTTCAACTTCTCAAGTAGCTAGCACTACAGGACGCCGCCACCATGCCTGACTCATTTTTGTATTTTTAGTAGAGATGAGGTTCCCTATGTTGGCCAGGCTGGTCTCGAACCCCTAACCTCAGATGATCCGCTCGCCTCGGCCTCCCAAAGTGCTGGCATTACAGGCATGAGCCACCATGCCCGGATGAGATGTCCCTGCTTGCATTCTTGATTTTGGTAATTTGTATGTTCTTTCCTTTTTTCTTGGGCCATCTAGCTAAAGATATGTCTCTTTTGTTGATCTTTCCAAAGAACCAATTTTTTGTTTAATTGCTTTTCTCTATTTTTTTTTCTATTTCATTATCAGTCTAGTGTTTATTATGTTCTTTCTTCTGTTTACTTTATGTTTGATTTACTCTAATATTTCCGGCTTCTTGGAGTGAAAGATTAGATTATTGATTTTATTTATTTTTTATTTTTTTGAGATGGAGTCTTGCTCTGTCACCCAGGCTGGAGTGCAGTGGTGCAATGTTGGCCTACTGCAATCTCTGCCTCCCAGGTACAAGGGATTCTCCTGTCTCAGCTTCCCGAGTAGCTGGGATTACAGGCATATGCCACCACACCGGCTAATTTTTTGTATTTTTATTAGAGACGGGGTTTCACCATGTTGGCCAGGATGGTCTCGATCTCTTGACCTTGTGATCCACCCGCCTCAGCTCCCAAAGTGCCGGGATTACAGGTGTGAGCCACCGCACCTGGCCATAATTTTTTTTTTAATTTTTTTCAAAAATTAGTTGTTCCAGCCTGGCCAACATGGCAGAACCCCTTCTGTAATAAAAATATTAAAAAGTAGCTGGCTGTGGTGGCTAACGCCTGTAATCCTAGCACTTTTGGAGTCCAAGGTGAGTGGGTGGATCACCTGAAGTCAGGAGTTTGAAACCAGCCAGGCTAACATGGCAAAACCCAGTCATTACTAAGAATACAAATATTAGCCAGGCATGGTGGTGGGTGCCTGTAATCTCAGCTACTTGGGAAGCTGAGGCAGGAGAATCACTTGAACCTGGGAGGCGGAGGTTGCGGTGGGCCAAGATGGCACTACTGCACTCCAACCTCCAGCCTGGGTGACAGACTGAGACTCTGTCTCAAAAAACAAAACACACACACACAAAAAAAGATGTAAAGCTAAAGCTAAAGAAAGCAATGCTTGGAAGAGGATTTGTAGCTTGAATGCCTTTAGTAGAAAGAGAAAGATCTAAAATCAATAATCTAGGCCGGGCATGATGGCTCACGCCTGTAATCCCAGCACTTTGGGAGGTCCAGGTGGGCGGATCACCTGAGGTCAGGGGGTCGAGACCAGTCCAGGCCAACATGGCGAAACCCCATGTCTACTAAAAATACAAAAAATTAGCCGGTGTGGTGCCATATGCCTGTAATCCCAGCTAGTCAGGAAGCTGAGACAGGAGAATCGCTTGAACCTCGGAGGCAGAGGTTGCAGTAGGCCGACATTGCACCACGGCACTCCAGCCTGGGCAACAGAGCAAGACTCCATCTCAAAAAAATAAAAAATAAATAAATTCAATAATCTAATCTTTCACTTCAAGAAGCTGGAAAAATAAGAGTAAATCAAACATAAAGTAAACAGAAGAAAGAACATAATAAACACCAGACTGAAAAATCAAGGAACTAGAAAACAATAACCGCCTATGGTCCCAGCTACTCGGGAGGCTGAGGCAGAAGAATCAGGAGGCGGAGGTTGCAATGAGCCGAGATTGCGTCACTGCACTCCAGCCTGGCCACAGAGCAAGACTCCGTCTCAAAAAAAAAAAATTATGTAGAGATAGCGCCTTGTCATGTTGTCCAGGCTACTCTCAAACTCCAGGGCTCAAGTGATTCACCTGCCTTGGCTTCCCAAAATGCTGAGATTACAGGCGTGAGCCACCACATGTGGCCTTAATTTTCTTTCAGCACTTAAAATATGTCATTCCATTGCCTCCGTGTCTCCATTGTTTCTGATGAGAAGCCTGCCATTAATTGTGTACTTCTTCCCCCATATTTGATGAGTCTTTTTTTCCGGCTGCTTTAAAGATCTTCTTTTTGTCTTTTTTATTGTAACCACTTATTTTTAAACATATTCCTCCATGCTCAGACTTTTTTATATTCATCTGTGTACTTAACACAGTAGTATTACTCTATATATACAGTACATTCACTTTTATTTTTTATTTGCATGTAAAAATATGGAATGCTTCACAAATTTGCATGTCATCCTTGTACAGGGGCCTGGCTAATCTCTGTATTGTTCCAATTTTAGTATATGTGGTAGCCAATTGTCTTTAAACAAGTTGATCATGATATGCCTAGGTATTTGAGGTTTGTTGAGATTCTTAGATCTGTAATGTTTTTCATCACATTGGAAAAGTTTTTTTTTTTAATTTTTTTTTTTTTCTTTTGAGACGAGGTTTCCCCATGTTGGCCAGGATGGTCTCAATCTCTTGACCTCGTGATCTACCTGCCTTGGCCTCCCAGAGTGCTGGGATTACAGGCGTGAGCCACTGCACTTGGCCTGAAAAGTTTTTGGGTATTTTTTTTTTTGAGACAGCCTCGCTCTGTCACCAGGCTGGAGTGTAGTGATGCCATCTCAGCTCATGGCAACCTCCACTTCCCGGGTTCAAGCAATTCTCCTGCCTCAGCCTCCCAAGTAGCTGGGACTACAGGCATGCACCACCACACACAGCTAATATTTGTATTTTTAGTAGAGACAGGGTTTCTCCACATTGGCCAGGCTGGTCTCAATCTCTTGACCTCCTGATCCAACCACCTCAGCCTCCCAGAGTGCTGGGATTACAGTGTGAGTCACCACACCTGGCCTTTGGCTATGATTTTTTTAATTACCTTTTTCTGATCCTTTGTCTCCTGTCCCCTGGACATCTATTACCTGTCTATTGGTATGCTTGATGTACCACTGGCCTCTCAGGCTTTTTGGTTTTGGTGTTTTTGGGGTTTTTTTTGTTTGTTTGTTTGTTTCTTTCTTTTTTGAGACAGTCTTGCTTTGTCACCCAGGCTGGAGTGCAATGACATGAACACAGTCACTGCAGCCTTGACCACCCAGGCTTAAGCGATTCTCCTGCCTCAGCCTCCCAAGTAGCTGGGACTGCAGGGGCCACACCATCACATCCAGCCTACTTTTGTATGTTTTGTAGAGACAGAGTTTTGTCATGTTGCCCAGGCTGGTCTTGAATTCCTGGGCTCAAGCAATTCATCTGCCTCAGCTTCCTAAAGTGCTGGGATTCCAGGTCTGAGCCACTGTGCCCAGCTGTTCACGTTCCTTCAATCATTTTTGTCTCTATTATTCAGACTAGATTATTATTATGATCTATCTCGAGGTTTATTAAATTTTTCCTCTGCTATCTTAAATCTGCTGCTGGGTTCATTTAGTAAAATTTTCTAAATGAAAATTCTAGAATTTCTGTTTGATTTTTTTTTTTTTTTTTGAGATGGAGTCTCACTCTGTCAGCCAGACTGGAGTGCAGGGGCACAATTTCAGCTCACTGCAACCTCTGCCTCCCAGTTTCAAGTGATTCTCCTGCCTCAGCCTCTTGAGTAGCTGGGATTACAGGTGCCCACCACCACACCCAACTATTTTTTATATTTTTAGTAGAGACGGGATTTCACCAGGTTGGCCAGTCTGGTCTCAAACTCCTGACCTCAGGTGAGCCACACACCTTGGCCTCCCAAAGTGCTGGGATTACAGGAGTGAGCCACCACACCCAGCTGTTTGATTCTTTTTTGTAGCTTCTATTTTTCTATTAAGATTCCATATTTATTGTTAAATATTTTTATTTAATTACTTGAACATGTTTATAATATGTGCTTTAAAATCTTTGTCTGCCAAATTCAACTTCTGGGCCTACTCAGAGTCAGTTTTTATTGACTTTTAAAATCAGGATATGGGTTACTATTTTTTTTTTTTTTTTTTTTTTTTTTGAGACGGAGTTTCGCTCTTGTTACCCAGGCTGGAGCGCAATGGCGCGATCTCGGCTCACCGCAACCTCCGCCTCCTGGGTTCAGGCAATCCTCCTGCCTCAGCCTCCTGAGTAGCTGGGATTACAGGCACGCGCCACCATGTCCAGCTGATTTTTTGTAGTTTTAGTAGAGACGGGGTTTCACCGTGTTGACCAGGATGGTCTTGATCTCTTGACCTCGTGATCCACCCGCCTCGGCCTCCCAAAGTGCTGGGATTAGAGGCGTGAGCCACCGCGCCCGGCCAAGGGTTACTATTTTTTATGTTTCTTTGCACGTCTCATAATTTTTGGTTGAAAACTGGTCATTTTATCCTCCTCTTTCTCCCCTAAAAACTTGTCATTGGGTTTCTTTCTCTGCTGCGAGCTTCCAAAATGACAAAGAAAAGAAGGAACAACGGTCGTGCCAAAAAGGGACGCGGCCAGGTTCAGCCTATTCGCTGCACGAACTGTGCCCGATGCATGCCCAAGGATAAGGCCATTAAGAAATTCGTCATTGGAAACATAGTGGAGGCCGCAGCAGTCAGGGATATTTCTGAAGCGAGCGTCTTTGATGCTTATGTACTTCCCAAGCTCTATGTGAAGCTACATTACTGTGTGAGTTGTGCAATTCACAGCAAAGTAGTCAGGAATCGATCTCGTGAAGCCGGCAGGGACCGAACACCGCCACCCCGATTTAGACCTGCGGGTGCTGCCCCACGACCCCCACCAAAACCCATGTAAGGAGCTGAGTAAAAGATTGAAGACAACTATTCCCTGGAGAAAAATAAAATGGAAATTGTACTTGAAAAAAAAAAAAAAAAAAACTTGTCATTGACTGGGTGTGGTGGCTCACGCCTGTAATCCAAGCACTTTGGAGGCCAAGGTGGGCATATCACCTGAGGTCTGGAGTTCAAGACCAGCCTGACCAACATGAAGAAACCACGTCTTTAAAAAAAAAAAAAACTGGTCATTTTAGGTAATAAAATAACAGAATAGACTGTAATACTCTGGATTGTGTTATATTTTTCTGAATGGTGCTGGTGCTGCTGATGCTGATGGTGTGCGTGTGTGTGTTTGTGGGGATGTGGGGTATGTGGGTGTGGGTGTGGTATGGGTGTGAGGGGGATGTGGGGTGTGTGTGTGTTTGTGGGGGTGTGGGGGGGTGTGGGTGTGGGTGCAGTGTGTATGCATGAGGGGGATGTGGAGGATGTGTGTCTGTAATTTGGAGTTACACTGTAGAGTCTATCATTCCACAGTGTGCAGCTGCTATTGTGTCTGCTCAATTTTTTATTCTTGCTTTTAAATTTTTCCCTCAGGGGTCATGCGTGGTGGCTCACACCTGTAATCCCAGCACTTTTGGGAGGCCAAGGTGGCTTGAGCTCAGGAGTTTAAGACCAGCCTGGGCAACATACCAAGATCCCATCTCTACTAAAAATACAAAAACTTAGCAGGTTGTGGTGGCATGTGCCTGTGGTCCCATCTACTCAGGAGGCTGAAGTGGGAAGACTGCTGGAGCCCAGGAGGCAGAGGTTGCAGTGGGCCAAGATCATGCCAATATACTCCAGCCTGGGTGCAGAGTGAGACCCTACCTCAAATAATAATAATAATAATACATTTTTCCAGCCAGGAGCGGTGGCTCATGCCTGGAATCCCAGCACTTTGGGAGGCTGAGGCGGGTGGATGACCTGAGGTCAGGAGTTTGAGACCATCCTGGCTAACATGGTAAAACCCTGTCTCTACTAAAACACAAAAATTATCCAGGCATGGTGGCACGCGCCTATACTCCCATCTACTAGGGAGACTTAGGCACAGTATTGCTTGAACCTGGGAAGCAGAGGTTGCAGTGAGCTGAGATTAGGCCATTCCCATTGCACTTCAGCCTAGGCGACAGAATGAGACTCTGTCTCCAAAAAAAAAAAAAAGAGGCAGAAGAATCGCTTGAACCCAGGATCCGGAGGTTACAGTGAGCTGAGATCATGCCACTGCACTCCAGCCTGGGTGATGGAGAGAGACTCTCTCTCAAAAAAAAAAAAAAAATTCCTTCAGGTATCACCCCTGTGATTACATAGGACAGTCTTCAGCCAATGATTAGAATAGGCATTGTGTTCAAATACCTCAAACCCATATAGCATCCACTTCTGCCAGCCTATCTGTTTGAAGATTGACAAATGCATTAAAATGTGTAGCCACTGTTCAAATCTTCCTTGTATTTTATTTTTCATGGAGCTCTCTCAGGCATCCTCCATGCATCTGAGAGTTTTCCAGTGAGCCAGGGATGTGGGAGAACTTATCTGAGTTCTTTTACAGTTCCCTGTTTTCCAGCTAAGTTTCTGGCTTTTTCACCACTGATCCCAGCTAGGAGTGCCACTTTGGCTAGCACAGCTGCAGGGTTCTTTGCCTGTTTATTTCCTACCAACTTCACATCATTCAGCTGAGAGCGTGGCAGGCTTTTGTCCACCTCAACCTAACTCCCAGAATTTCATTCTACCCACTGTGACAGCAAACATGCTGGTTTTTCCAGCCAGTTCCACACTGGTAAAACTACAGTTCCCGGCCACCGAGGAAGTTGGATGGGAGTAGCCTCAGGCAAGAAGGCTGCAAACTCACATTGCTTTGGCCTGAAGCTATAGCAGTTTTTCAAGAATAAAAGCTCCTCAATTTGTTTTCTGCCTTGCTCAGTTTACGGAGACTTGAAATCATTGTTCCGGGCAATTTTGTTTAATTTCATAGTTGTTTTTTGTGAAGAATACAGACATCTTTACACTGCTATAGCCAGAAGTTCCTTGGTGTAGTTTTTAATGTATTTTATTTATTTTTATTTTTAGTTTGAGACAGAGTCTCACTCTGTTGCCCAGGCTGGAGTACAATGGTGTAATCTTGGCTCACTGCAATCTCTTCCTCCTGGGTTCAAGGGATTCTCCTGCCTCAGCCTCTCAAGTAGCTGGAATTACAGGCTCCCGCCACCATGCCCAGCTAATTTTTGTATTTTTAGTAGAGATGGGGTTTCACCATATTGGCCAGGCTGCTCTCGAACTCCTGACCTCGGGTCATCTGCCTGCCTCAGCCTCCCAAAGTGCTGGGATTACAGGCATGAGCCACTGTACTCAGTCCTCGGTGTAGTTTTAAATTGGCATAAGTGTTATTGTGTCAAAAATATGGTTTTGTTTTTTCACTCATAACTATTTTTGAGATCTCTCCATGCTGTCTTTTGAATATTTTGTATGTCTGCTGAGTAGCATTCCATACTATGCAACTCCCATAATTAACCTTTCTTTTTCTTTCTTTCTTTTTTTTTTTTTTTTGATGATGTTGGGGGGATGGAGTCTTGCTCTATTGTCCTGGCTGGAGTGCAGTGGCATGATCTCAGCTCACTGTGACCTCCACCTCCCAGGGTCTAGCGATTCTCCTCCCTCAGCCTCCCAAGTAGCTGGGACTACAGACACCCACTACCACACCTGGCTAATTTTTGCATTTTTAGTAGGGACAGGGTTTCACCATATTGACCAGGCTAGTCTCGAACTCTGGACCTCAGGTGATCCTCTCTCCTCGGCTTCCCAAAGTGCTGGGCTTACAAGCGTGAGTCACCGAGCCAGGCCCGTATTTAACCTTTCTACTTTGCTAACGAAAGTCACCCAAAACTGAGTTACCTCCCCAGAGGTAACCATTACTTTTTGTTTTTTTGTTTTGTTTTGGTTTTGGTTTTTGTTTTTTTTGTTTTTTGTTTTTTTGAGACAGTGTCTTGCTCAGTGGCCAGGGCTGAAGTGCAGTGGCACCATCTTGGCTGACTACAACCCCTACTTCCTGGGTTCAATTGATTCTCGGGCCTCAGCCTCCTGAGTAGCTGAGACTATAGGGGTGCACCACCATGCTGGCTAATTTTTGTATTTTTAGTAGAGACAGGGTTTCACCACATTGGCCAGACTGGTGTTGAACTCCTGGCCTCAGATGATCCACCCGCCTCGAACTACCAAAATGCTGGGATTACAGGCGCGAGCCACCAAGCCTGGCCAACTATTACCAATTTTTTTTTTTTTTTTTTTTTGAGACGGAGTTTCGCTCTTGTTACCCAGGCTGGAGTGCAATGGCGCGATCTCGGCTCACCGCAACCTCTGCCTCCTGGGTTCAGGCAATTCTCCTGCCTCAGCCTCCTGAGTCGCTGGGATTACAGGCACATGCCACCATGCCCAGCTAATTTTTTGTATTTTTAGTAGAGACGGGGTTTCACCATGTTGACCAGGATGGTCTCGATCTCTTGACCTCGTGATCCACCCGCCTCGGCCTCCCACAGTGCTGGGATTACAGGCTTGAGCCACCGTGCCCGGCCTATTACCAATTATTAAAATGTTTTCTGGCTGGATGCGGTGGCTCATTTATAATCCCAGCATGTTTGGAGGCTGAGGTGGGCGGATCACGAGGTCAGGAGATCGAGACCATCCTGGCTAACACGGTGAAACCTTGTCTCTACTAAAATTACAAAAAATTAGCTGAGCATGGTGGTACACACCTGTAGTCCCAGCTACTCCAGTGGCTGAGGCAGGAGAATCGCTTGAATTTGAGAGGCAAAGATTGTGCAGCGAGCCAAGATAGTGCCACTACACTCCAGCCTGGGCGACAGACTGAGACTTTGTCTCAAAGGAAAAAAAAATAATAAATAAATAAAATTTTAAAAAATATTTACCATTGTATACCTAAATATGCTTACAGTGCTACTTGCTTTTTGTTTTAGAAACTATTACTTTTACAGTATAGAAGATAAGGATTTAGTTACACTTTGCACTGCCCACAGGAAATACATGCATACTTCGAATTCCTCCATCTTTCCAATGTAGACACGTACTTTTGACTTTTTTTTTTTTTTTTTTTTTTTTTTTTTTTTTTTTTTTTTTTTTTT